GCTCGGCACAAGGAGCGAGCGGAGGAAAAAAAGATGAGAAGGAATATTTGTATCGTGTGGCTCCTAACCGTCTGTGGAGCACAATAAAAACAACACATTTCAGGGAGTTCAATTTAAGCTGGTTCCTCTTAGCGTGTGCAGAGGAGCACCAGGAAGCGGAAAGGTGAAGGAGTAATCGTCCAGTAGCTGCACGCGGAGACGAATGTGTGTACAAATATGTGGCGACGATGCTCCGATGCTGGGGAAGCATCAGCAGCACCAGCAGCAAACAAACAACCCATCCAGTCAAGGGATGATGGGAAAGCTGAAGTCTCGTGATGTGTGCTAGCAAGAAAAAAAAGGGGGTAAAGCTTTCTCCTTGATATTTCATGTCACACAAATGGTAGTGAGCCAGCTGAGAAGTAAAAACTGCTCTCTTTAATGGATAGTTCAGCATCTGATCGAGATGGATAATGTGTATTGCTAATTTAGAACCTGGATGGGATGGAAGGTTTTACTTTACCATGTCATTGAATAGTTTTACTATGGTTTATCAGATTTTTTTTCTAAAGAACTTCCATCTATTCAAGAGTTATCTTAACTGATAAAAAAAAACAAATGTTCTATAGAATCCGTCGTTTAAATTTTGAGCCAAACTTAATTCCTAACAGGTTGTTTTTTGGCTTGAAAGTTGTATAAATTCCAAGACTATGGTTACTTAAGAAATAAAAATCGAAGTCAGGACTTGAAAAAAATTGAGGCTCCGATGTAAAAATATGTTACGATTCATTTATTTGTCATCTTAACAAAATTTCAAGATTACAAATTTGTAAATAGGTTAATCTGAACATTTATTGAATTTTATTTATTTATTTATTTATAGTTATTCATCTGACTTGTATGTAGCCCTAATAAATATTAATATTAATACAATATACTAAAAATGCAAAAAAAGCTTTTTAAACATAGAACATTGCAAATAGTTATTGTCTCAAAGAGAGTCGTTGTTGAAAGACCGCGTGGTCAACTTAAATTCAAATAATTAAAAGTGCTACACATAACTCTAACGGGGTCATGTTGTTCATATGCCACACTTCGTGAACCAAGATGAAAGAAATCCCGCTAGCGTAGTCTTCTCTCTGGTGCGTAGAAATTATTGTGCGCGAGGATATTCGAGGCATCAATTTTTTCTTTCAGCATTTTCGCCACAAAAGCTGCTTGAGCGATGGAGCGCCGAGTGCGAGAAGTTGGCAACGTTCTTCATAAGGTGGTAAGTTGGAGAAATCAGAGTGCGAAGAGCGTATCGCACGAATGTTTTCTGCACTGTTTCGATCCTAGCAATCCAATTGGTGTGATACGGACACCAGGCAACCACACTTGATTCCAAAATGGATCGTACCAGTGAACAATACAGGGATCCGGGATATTTGTGGTCTAAGTTCACTTAATTTCACAAGACATAATTGTCATGGATCATCCCAGACAACCAGAAGTCGTTTAACAACCCAAGTAACAATTTGGGTTTTATGAGGATTCTTTAGATTATGATTTAAACTTGCGAATGGTTGAAAACCTCGTTACACTTGTAATGCTGTTTGGGAATATACTGATATCATCGTAAATTGTAACATATTAAGTCGACATGGGAAATAAAGACGAAATACATCGCATTATGTTTTAGTTTAATAGAATGCGGATTTCCAATTTCGATAAATTCGATAAATCACAGCAAATTGTACTACTAATTAAATTGGATAAGATCGTTAGACTTGCCATACTGAATTTGTTTTTACAGATGTACATGATGTCAAATCTCATAGTTATTAAATAAATTTATTTTTGCACGAATATGGGCCCCACTTTTGTTCGTATGACCAATTTTTGTATATTATAAACCATTTGTTTGCTTGTATATCACAGAAATAACTTTGATATACCGTGCCGATTCAAATTTCGGACACTTAAACTCGAATTTCGGACACTTTTAAAAGTTGATTATCTCGGTCGAATATGATCCACATGTCTTGTAAATTTTAAATTTTTTTGACTAGTGCCCTCCACGATCATCTAACATCATTACTTTGTTTCTAACTGGATGTAATATTTAACTAAAAATGAAAGTGTCCGAAATTTGAATCGTCCGAAATTTGAATCGGAACGGTACGTGCATTCGTGTTGTCTGGGAATTCCACCATGAGTGATTTTTTTTAATGTAGTACAATAAATCTGTAGCTTTGCTTCTTTATTTTACAGAAAAATTTGTGCATCTTGATTTCATCGCCTATATGGCCTTAGATACCTTAGATATTGAAGAGAGGATATGTCGGAATTTATGTGCTACACACTATGTAACACATAAATACCCAAGTAATCCAAACGTCCTAATTGCCCGCTAACCGCCCTTTTTATAATAAAAGATTAAATTAAGGCTACCAAACTTTATATAAATCGTATATAAGCCTTATATTGCATATTGGTATGGCTTTATAGTTGACACATATACCATCAGGAATAAGTTTTCGCAATACCGTAACCAATATTTGGCTAATTAGTTTTTTTTATGTTATATTGGGCTAATCTACTGCTAATACAATACACAGCAAAAAAATAATTTTGATATCACGTCAAAGTGGATGCACTACAATCATGTCGAAAATATGGTGTAATATTACTTGCTAAAAAGGACAAAATTATCATTAATACAATGCATGAACTGAGATTACGCTGCTTTTACTGCATTTGTTTATTTATGTGGCCATAAAAATTACATGAAATTTTCGACATGATTGTAGTGCATCAACTTTGATGTGATATCAAAATTATTTTTTTGCTGTGTACTTTCATGTCCAGTACACACATAGAAATTATTATTTTTACACGAGACTCAATTCAGCTTTGACGTAAATCATGGAACGTAAACAAACCTAGCATGTTAAATTAAGTGTCCTGAAACTGAAATATATGCAACTCGACGAAAAGTGCGTTTGATTGAAGTGATTTTCTCGTCCTTTTCAACTGATTCTTATGTCAAAAGGGCCACTTGCATGTGTTGGTCTCAGGGCACTGAAATTTACATGTCTTTTTCGTAGTGTGTAGTAGTAATAAGTCTACATAGCCAAAAGGTGAATTAGGTGGCGTTTTGATTACTTTGATAACATCTTTAATAATAAATTTAAAAAAAAGAGGGATCCAGTGTTAATGGGACACGTTAAACATCTTCAATGGATTCTTTATTCTCAACGCAGTAACCAGGAATGCCGTATGACTATCAATAAACAAAACGGGACCAGGAGAAGAAGGTTTGAAAAACTGCACTATTCAAGAAATGCGTTTGAGTCTTGGTGATTGTATGTACAGTATGCACCATAAAATAATGCGAAAATTATCATTAATCTTTTATGAAGAATTTGGCATTATTTTCTGGCGCATAAAGTAGGGCAAATTTATCTTTTGTGAACCATTTTCTATACTAGACCACTTGCGGATCAATGTAATTTTATGTAAAAAATGTAGTGATTTACCATCATAAGATGTAAAATGTCTAATTATGAACCCTGGGTGGTCCATAAAAGGTTAATGATTACCTTAACTTGTAATGCAGATTTCCGTGAATAAAGTCAAGTAATTTATTTTTCAACCATCAAATATACTACATTAACAATATTGTTCGCACTTCGCTTTTCCATACATCACGCAGGGGACAGAAATTGTTTAAACAGGCTTTGTTTTAAACAGATGTTGTAGCTTTGAAAGATCCCTTGTAATGTCTTTAAAAGACATAAGTTATTGCCAATTCAGAGAAAAATTACCATTAGTATTACATTTATGCAGTCATAAGGATAATGGATTTTTTTTTGTAAATCGAATATCGGTATTAAGGTATTGTAGAGATGTACGGATGTATGACCACCAAAAGTCATCACTTGTTTATGAGACGCAGTAGGCGCTGCGTGTGATCAGTTGCATACTCAAGTAACAATTTTGGTTTTATGAGAGTTCTGTAGACCATGATTTAGACTTGTAGCATGCTTTAAGACCTCGATAAAACTTGCAATGTTACTTGGGTAGTTTGTTGAACAATTTTTTTGCATATCGATTTCACAGAAAACATATTCATGGTACTTCAGTTTGTACCATTTGCTGCTAGTAACTTTTCCGAGAAATTGGGTGGGATATGTAGATTTATTTTTTTCTTTATTGTTGTTACAATTACTGCTTGCTTTGAAAACAGCAGCACTAGGAATAGTGGTTTATACCAGGCAGCCGAATAAAGCGATTTGCATAGGAAGAGTAGGGACTGCCAACTACCTGTTGGTAACATTTCGTGAACAAAGTGTATTATCTTCCACCCACTTATTGAAGCATTCTTCTATATGACACGGCTCGTTTTTTATTGTATGAAGTTTTTTCTAGACAGGGTTGCTTCCACTCACTTCTCTATAAATAATGTTTTTCGCTATTATGAAATAATTAGATGTTATAATGACATTCTGTACTTGTAAGTTCCAAGAAGAGGTTGTGAAGTATGCACATTTACCTAGTCAGTAATTTTTACCGAGGAATTGGATTGAGTTCGGTAAAATTTTATTAAATCTGTGAAAAAATCAAAGTTCAGAAAATGTGTTACAAAAATTTACAGACTTACTTCTGTTAACCCTATTTAATGATGAAAAATAAAATTTGTCGATTTTATCGAATCTTTGCGAATAACGGTCATTTGAATTATAGCCGAATTTTTCAGTAGTTCAAAAACCCAGTAAAAAATACTGACTCCTGTAAACAATTTAAGTGTGTGGTTGGGCACATCAACCTTATCAATTTCGATTCCAGATAGTCATAATCAGTGATTCTACGATTCGTGAGCGTTCTTTCAGAGTGTGACTCAACGATTACAGCTAATCAGTATTAAAAAAAACCATTTTTGATTAGATTTTTTAACTAAATGCTGTAGCATTAAGCGACGAACCTTATATTTGCTTTGGTAAAACCGTTATAACATGATAAAAAAAGAATATACTCACTTGTTCCGTTGTTGTTGCGGCCCCAGATTTTCCGCGGCGGACTCAGCACCGGACTGGACACACAGGATGTGGCTGCCGAAGTCGTCGTTTGGGCTCCGGATGATGCCTTAACCGGTGTTGCCGTGGTGGAACCAGCCGCCGACGTGGTGATCTTCGGCTTGTTGCCACTGGTGGCCGTCGTCGAGCTAAGATTACTATCGGAAAGACTACCTACACTAGCGCTAACACCCCCCAGAAAACTTCCACCATCGTCTACCTGTGCACAACTCTGTACTATTACACCACTTGTAACCGTCGTTGGCGAGGAAACCGGCTTTTGTTCCATTCCCGATTGCAAAATTACAAGGCACATTTAAAGCATCGCGAGCAAGGACGAAGAAATGCGATCGATCGCTGATTAACGCGGAAGCAATGATACGTACGCGCGAGCAAAAATCCGTGCAAATAAAACCAAGCGACGAAATATGTAATTAGCGATAAACAAAAAAAAAAAACCTAACAAAAACGAACTAACTAATTGCAACTAAATCCCCTCAATAAAACAAAAAAAATATAAGACCAAAAGCGAACCAACATAAATTTCAAATCAACAAATAAATTTCAACTAAACAAATCCGTCAAATCCTAAATGATTGCTATTTTCCACTGTTCTTTTATTTGATTGTGCTTCAGTCTCTCACACGTGACAGTTCGGTAGCTTATCGTATGTTTCACCACACAGTATGTCACAATTGTTTATCACAGTGCGCGTAATCGATGATTCATGGAATCCTGGTGGTACCAATGATAACGAACGGATTAATTTTCAATACGCCAAACTTGGAATAATTACGACCGTTTGACAATACCGATTGCACTGCTTTACTTTTTGATTCAGTGAGCCCACGAAACCGCGGGCAAATCTCTATAGGAGCGTTTTTATGTTTTATTGGATGAAAGGTGAAAAGATTAGCTCTAATGACAACAACTTTTCAGATCGAAGTCAAAAGAATATCTGAACCGACGTTCCGGCAATGAAGAGGAAACTAAGGAAAATCAGTCAAGAGCAAGCAATCGTTACGATTGTGGTCGTAGCCCGGTATGTGTGTGCACCGCGTGGTCCTCGGAGGTTTTTCTCTCATTCTCATCCCTGCTGGCTAGCCGTGCGGCGAAAGAGTTAAAAACTTGAACAACATCAGGAGCACACAACGTGTATTCCGAGAGGGAGAGAAAAAGTTGAGCGCGACTCGAAGACTCCGCCTCAATGTTTTTTTTTTGTGTTTGATGTGCTTCGAACCCTAGCATAATTTTTAACAACATTTTTTTCGAACCCTTTCCGATCATCATCATCATCATCATCATCATCGATAACAGTAGGGCAACTTGTACGGAGTCGTCATCACCATCAAGCATCATCAAGCATCGCCGCAAATGAAGCAGTAGCATGAGTTTTTATGCTGCATTCTTCCTTCGGGCGCGTAAGAGAGTAGCAGAAGATGTCTCGAGCTGAGTGAAGGGTTCACGTATCAGGATTGCAATTAAGAAGGTAAATTGAAGAAAAAAAAATCTGTTGCAAGGAATTGTGTTCCTGATCGTATAGAAGTGATGGAGATTTTTCTAATATACAAAAAAAAAAATCTTTTGCAGAATGTTCTTTATACACGTCTTTCGGTCCTACCAAAAAAATGTATGTTGCAATTATGGGAATTTGTGAGAAAATATACCATAATAGATCACATGAGCTTGTTTTCGGCAATGCTATCAAAATGAATCGTTTGAATTACATGTTTTGATAGTGTTGAGTTTCTTTTTCAAATCGGTATCTATTTAGATTAACAAGATTGGTTTTGTTACAGTTTTGATTCACTTCACTAAACTAAAGTGATTTTACATACTGTATTCAAATTTTAGACTTATACATAGCCTTACTTTGAATGCAGGGGCTTTCTATAGTCTAGCAGGCTGCACATAAACCACGTAGGCACTTCTTTACAAAGAAGGTCTAAAATCTCTCAAAAACTGTCTAAGTACTCCCTATTGATAAAATCAATCATTCTGAATAAGTCACGATGCACTGATCTTTGACCCCTTTCTTGTTTCTTCGCGTCCTGAGGTCTTAATCTTGTGGAGTGGCTTACCTTAAAACAGTAACATGATAAAACATTACTTAGTCTTGTTCAAGTCAGAGGAAGCGATGCATCATTGCTTGTTGCATAACCATCAGCAAATATATTTTCCATTATGCTGATGGAAAGGCAGTCGAGGTACGCATTTCACATGCTTGGGGAAATGTTCGATCTTTAACCAGTGGTCACAGATATGATCTAGCGTTGGTGCAACTGATGCTCAGAAACAGCAGCCTACTTCTACAAATTGGGGTTAGCAGACTATACGGAGCAGATGAAGAGGAGTCAAGCGACAAGCGATAGAGCAGCATAGACGTTTGGAAGAATTTAAGAAGTTGCGTGTATGGAAGAAAGCAGAGGCAAAACTCAGAAGTCCATGAAACATTGCATAATTTATCGCATAATAAACCAAGTTTTTCCTGGAATTCAGCCATTTTGACTCTCGCCTAATTTTTCAAAATGGTATATTCGATATTTTTTTTTGAAAAGGCAAAACCAGTTTCCCACAACTTTGTGTCAGACACCATTTCGATAAAATGAGCCGTTTTCGTTACATGATTTATTGAAAATAATCTAATGCGCCATTTTGTAAAACTACACTGTTAAAACTATTTTGTATTTTTACACGAATTTCCATGCACTTAAAAAGATTATGCATATTCATGTAAACTAAATTGGTTTTTTAAATTTACACGACTTGAAATTTACATGCTTGTAATATAAAACCTCACTCGAATTTTACATAGATCGGCTAATCTTGTAATTTTACAGGACATTTTTTTTTCTTTCTTTATTTAGGAGATTTTCAGCCGTAGGCTGGTTCATCTCCGAGACAGGACATTTAACAATACATGGATTTTACAAATTTCGTTCCTAAACAAAGTATGCTGCGTCGTGTATTTTCTGTTCAAACATAAAAATTATAGCTTTTTGAACGAATTTGCATAAAATCGAACTGATTGTCAAGTACGTGGAATTATCACACGACTACATTTACACGATCAGTCAAGAGAAAAAAGGATCCACGAACGCATTTTTTAATGTTTTACCCTTCTTACAAAGAAGGGTATAGATATCACTTGAAAAACCGACTATCGATCCGAGGCCCGGAGGGCCGAGTGTCATATACCATTCGACTCAGCTCGACGAGATCGGAACATGTCTGTGTGTTTTTTTTTTTTTTTTTTTTTTTTTTTATAGTAAGGTTTAGGAAAGCTTCAAGAAGCCTGGCCTGTAGTGAAGGTGGCACGGTGTGGTATCCACTAGTTGCCTAGTGCAGCTCCACTAAAACCCATTCCTTACTCTCTCCTCTGCCTGAATCCCCCCGGGACCACTGTGAAGCGACTACTTCGGGGGGTGGCTGTGCTCATGCACTTGTCGTACTCTCAGCGCTAGCTGGCGTTGCTAGATCGCTGCTCTTCTCTCCATTTACGCTGCAGCTCTGACATAATCTGTGTGACTGCCCTGCTGACGGCATTCCAAGAGTCCTCCTCTCGACACATTTCATCAACGACATTCTCCACGTTAAGGACGGGCATCTCCGTTCGCACTGCCTCGAACCTTGGACAGTCAAAGACCACATGCTCCGGCGTTTCATCGACGTTGCCACACTCCGGACAGAGGGGTGACGCTGCGTGTCCGAACCGATGCAGGTATTTCCTGAAGCAGCCGTGGCCAGACAGGAACTGCGTTAGGTGGAAATTGACTTCTCCGTGTTTTCTGTTCACCCAGGTCGAAAGAATCGGTATTAGTCTATGTGTCCATCTACCGTTCTCCGTCGTGTTCCACTCCTGTTGCCACTTAGCCAATGACTCCACTCTCACAACTTTCCGTACTCTTCCGGCTTCTCTCTGCCTGTAGCACTCACTGTCCTCCGCCAGGGTGATGCCGATAGGGATCATACCGGCGATAACGCATACTGCTTCCGACGAGATGGTTCTGTACGCACTCACGACTCGCATGGCCATGAGCCGGAACGTACTGCTCAGTTTCCTTTGGTTCTGCTTCGTTTCCAGCGCTGGAACCCAGGCTGGACCTCCATATCTCAGTATCGATGATGACACGCTGGCCAGAAGACGCCTCTTGCTACTGCTGGGACCAGCGTTGTTCGGCATGATTCTAGCTATCGCGTTGATGGCCTTCGAAGCCTTCTCACAGGCATATTCGACGTGGCTGTTGAAGTTTAGCCGGTCATCGATCATCACTCCCAGGTATTTTAACACACGCTTCGAGGCTATGGTGTGCTCCCCGACGGTGATTTCCGCCCGCTGTACCGCTTTACAGTTACTGACCAATAACACTTCCGTTTTGTGGTGGGCTATTTGCAGCTTCGCTCCTTTCATCCAGTTACCAATCATGTCGATTGCCTCGGTTGACAACACTTCCACCTCTTCCAGCGTCTCGCCTGTTACCGTCAAGACGACGTCGTCCGCAAAGCCAACGATCTCAACTCCTTTGGGCAGTTTCAGCGTTAGCACGCCGTTGTACATCCCGTTCCAGAGCGTTGGACCAAGGATGGAGCCTTGTGGAACTCCCGCTGTGATCCTAATCGATCTCTGTCCCATGTCTGTCTCGTAGACCAGAACCCGGTTCTGGAAATAACTCCTCAGGATCCTACACAGGTAGTCAGGGACCCTCATTCTATGCAGTGCTTCGGCGATGGCCTCCCAGCTGGCGCTGTTGAACGCATTCTTGACGTCGATCGTTATGACGGCGCAATATCGATCTCCTCTCCGCTTCTGTTTGGACGCCTTTTCAGCTCTCTCGACCACTGTCCGAATTGCATCCACCGTCGATCTCCCTTTCCGGAATCCGAACTGCCTCTCCGACAATCCGTGCTCACTCTCCGTGTATTTCGTCAGCCTGTTTAGGATGATCCTCTCCACGAGTTTTCCGAGTGTATCCAGCAGGCATATAGGCCTGTATGATGCTGGATCCCCCGGCGGTTTTCCTGGTTTCGGCAGCAACACTAGCTTCTGTATCTTCCACCTGTCAGGGAAGTGACCCTCGTTCAGGCATTTCTGCAGCACCATCCTGAACATGTCCGGGGATGACTGGATCGCCGCTTTCAACGCTACGTTGGGGATTCCATCCGGACCGGGAGCTTTCTTCACCTTCAATCCTTTCGCCACTACTACGAGCTCCTCGTTGGTGATTTCGACGTTATCTCCCTCTCTTTCTCCGTACGGTGTAGGTGGCCAGGTTGTTGGGTCGTGCTTCGGGAAAAGTCCTTCCACGATGACTTTCAGCTTCTCTGGGCACATTTCAGCGGGCATCGTTGGACCTCTGATCTTCGCCATCACGACTCGGTATGCGTCGCCCCAGGGGTTGGCATCAGCGTCTTGACACAGCTCCTTAAAACAGTTCGACTTGCTCTGCTTAATCACTCGTTTAAAAGCGGCCCTGGCCGCTCGAAACACTTCTCTTCGTTCCTCTCTGTCTGCTTCCGTTCTTGCTCTCTGAACACGTCTTCTGGCTCTGAGACAACTAGCGCGGAGAGTACTAAGTGCCTCGTTCCACCAGTAGACTGGACGCCGTCTGTTATTTGGCTCCAGTTTCCTCGGCATGGTCGTGTCTCATGCTCTCACTAACGTTTCTGTCAGCTCGTCCGCATTTAGATCTACGGGACTCCCGTCCACACGAAGTGCCTCAACGAACAAATCCTTGTCGAAAGCTTTCGTCTTCCACTTTCGGTCACAAGTTCTCGTCCTCCGTACTGCCACAGTATTCCGTTGACCGATGCCATATCGTATCGCCTGATGGTCGCTATGGGTATATCCTTCGCACACTCTCCAATCCATGTTTGCCATCAGCGACGGACTGCAGAAAGTAACGTCGATAATGGATTCTCGGCCATCTCTGCGAAAAGTGCTGCTGGTGCCTTTA